CTCCTTCTCCTCCTCACCATCATCATCATCCTCCTCCTCCTCCTCCTCCTCATCATCATCATCATTATCCTCCTCCTCCTCCTTTTGCTTCTCACTGCGGGCACACACGGAGCACGGATATCCGAGAGCTGATCAATGAAGGCGCGCGCATTGCTGCTGACTCTTTGTTTGCATCGACGCGGCGGCTACGGACACAGCCGCTGCTCGTGCGACGCGCGCTCACATCGGCAGACGCTCTACGACATGCGCTACGTGCGTGTGTTACAGAGGCAAATCATATTGTATTGGCGCCCATATTAATTCCTATGATCTAAAAATATTAATAAACAATAGTTACTTTGTGAAATTTCAATGACACCCATCGACCGCTACGTTGCAAAGGGATACCATCTATTTTCTCACATCAAATATTTTCCTATATTTTTTTGGCAACGCAATTTTCGCGAAACACGCCTAACGGGCAATGTACTGGGAGGTTCTACGCTGAAAAGTATGATTTAAAATCCGCCACACGAAAGGACAAGGAAAGAGCGAACCAATCCAGCAAATAGAACAAGAAGTCTAGTGACTCTCGTTTCGACAGATAAAAACACATTTGTACACACATCCGTTTGTACGCATCCACCAATGATGTAATTATTTGACTTAACGCCGACTGGCGCGCGCACGCACACACACGGGTACGCACGCACAACTTCGCCCGTCCGTCGTACGCACGAACACACACACACAGACACACACACGTGCGCGCGAAATGATTGCTTATATAAGCACGCTACAGAGTACGACACACAACTGTCCAACCTTGTGCTCGAACGCAAGAGCACCAGTTGGAATATATCATAAAGAAAGTAAACGAATAGATTATTCGAGTTTGCTTAAAAGTGTCACACACTTAAGATTATTCACAAAGTTTATTCAGAACCCAGTACGTTTAGAATCTTGGCAAGATACACACACTGTCGCACACTCACAACAACGAATGCCTCTCATACTATGAACATCCGGGTACTTAATTACCGTCAGAAGGCCATAATATTAAAGCATCTATGTCTCCTTAACGTTAAAAAATATGTTTACGAATTTATTATATGCAATCGAACTAGACATATAATTATATGAATTCATAATCGGGAGGAAACGCTCACAATAGTAAAAGTATTGACTACTACCTTAGTTAAAAAGAGTACCGAAAACTACTCCCAAAATATTTCTATGAAAAATGTTAACCATCTTGTCTGTAAGACAGCGTTTCTGTATACATTCAAACCGGAATTAAGATGTTTCTAGACCAAGGTACATTCCAAAAGTCACTCGTGTTTCACATACGATTTTAGAGGATACAACTGCCTTTTAGAGATCACTGTACAGCACATATAAATCTTCGATCTCATGTTATATATAATAATAATTTATATAATATTACACACAAGAAATCTTCCAACTTGAACAAGATTTATATAACGCGTACGTACCGAAGCAAAATATAAAATATCCGCGTGCCCCTTTTCTCTAGTACACGTCGCTCGTGACTCGTAGTGTGGTTTCATCGGAGCATCACTATCACGAGTCTTTCAATGTTGCCGACTCGTTCTCCCCCTCCCATTTCCCCTTCTCAATCTGCATACATATTTGTCGTTGCCGCTCCCTAATCACTCGAATGCGCGCAGGCAGCAACACGGCACGCACGTGCCCGCCCTGTCAGAAAGTCAGAAACGACTAAACATCATGAGCTGAGCGTATACTACTGTACCCAGCTCCAAGTCTCAATTTATGCCAAACCGAAAGTTGAACGGTTTCCTTTATCTCCGCGTGGTGTCGCAGCAGTCACTCACGCAAGTACTCGACTACTAATAATCATAATAATAATTATAATTATAATAATGATGATGATAATAATAATTATAATAATAATGATGATGATGTCGATGATAATAATAATTATATTATTAATAATAATAATAGAAATAAGACTAATGCGAATGGTAATTAGTGTTTCCATCAAATCTTCCCGAATGTCGGTCCATGAAACTCTATGTCCCCATTATTCAGTGCTACTCCCTGGACGACGGCAGTGATACGTGCCTACGGGAGAAAATGACGCAGTCCCTAGACACAGGTGAGCGCAGCGCGCGCGGGTTGCCCGGGCAACGAAAGAACATCGCGCTGGTTGGCTACTCGCTTATATTTGCCGTCGCACGCGGAAACTTACACAAGCGGGAAAAAAAAAGTAAAAACCGCGCGAAAAAAAAATGTACATCGCTTCTGCGTCTGCGCTGCTCGAGAGACTACAGCATTATGGCGTGTGCGTGCGTGTATGCGTGTGCGTGCGCGCGCGCGCGGGTTCGTGCACGCGTGTGTGACTAGATAAGACGCCGCGGCGTCGACGTATTACGTCGGCGGGAATCAGACAGACGCGCCGACGTCACGCAAAAAACACGCGAGCAGCTCGCCGCCGACACGCGCTAGCAGACGAACGAGGAGCCGCTCGTTAGTATGCACCTACACACGCACGCACGCACGCACGCACACACGCACGCAGGTACACGCGTGACTACCAACAGCACTAGGCGTGGGAGTAGGCTACAGCATGGCCAACACCTGCCGCGTACACTATTACGCCAGCGGCAGCGGAGACGTGTACAAAAAACGAAGCCTGCTTAAATCGTACCTGCATCTCCCACAATACACGCACGCACGCACGCACGCACGCATGCATCTGCGCACCCACACACGCACGCACGCACGCATCTGCGCACCCACACACGCACGCACGCACGCACGCATCCATCTGCGCACGCACGCACGCACATGCGCAAGGCTGGCGAACACTCTCTATAACTGAGCAGTTGAAAGATCACGAGAAAAACCACAACGTTCAGAACGAAGCAGAGATCGTGTTGTTTGCCGTTCACGTATAGAGTTCCGAAGTGATGACGTCACGGTGGCATGACAACGAACATACTGGTTCTACACAATCATATGCCCTGGTAACATTAACTGCGTGTCGTGTTTTGTACCCGATTGTAACTCATTCTGAGAGTCATTATTGCAGTTTTTATAGATTTTCAAAGGAGGAAAGTGAAAAGCAACAAAAAAAAAGAAAAAGATTTTTAAAAAAAATAATCAAATTTTTTTTTAATTAATTTAATATTTTAAGATCGACTTGCTACCGATGCTTTACCGCTGTCTGCAGCTCACACACTCGTGTTTTACGTACGCACAACATTTTTACGCAGTTGTTATGGAGCCAGTGGGTTGTGTAGAACCAGCGGGTTCGCTGTCATGCCACCGTGACGTCACACTTCGGTACTCTATACGCAACAACCACTCCTCACCTAACCCCCCCCCACCACGCACAGCATATCCTCAGGAGCACATCGTAATCATGATCCCCCCTCCCCTCCCCTCCCCAGACACATACACACCGGCTCTCGAACGCATTCACAAATTACTGCCTAGGACGGCGGCGCAGCTACTCGACACGCGACACCGGGGTTGACCTGGACACACCGCAGAGATCGAGTCACAGCGCGACAGCGTCGGGAGATCGTGTCACAGCGCGACAGCGTCGGGAGATCGTGTCACAGCGCGACAGCGTCGGGAGATCGTGTCACAGCACGACAGCGTCGGGCGACGCGCGACGACAACAGCAACAGCAACAACCGATTCTCACGATCGTGCATCACAGAAACTCTAAAATTACAAAAAAAATACTAGAAACTAAACACGGCCGCCTCGAACTAACACGACGACCACACACTCGGCGAGACTAAGAACGACAACATACGCTTGTGGCGACAGCGAAACGCATTGCTGCCCGCGTTAAATAAAACACAGGAGTGAGTGAAAAAACGGGAGACAAAATTCATTGGGGGGGATAAATAGAGAACGATGCAAAGCTTGAAAACAACCAAGTTTCTTCTCAGCGAAACCGTGGACCGATACACGCACGCACGCACGCACGTACGCACGCACACACACACGCATACAAGCAACGCTGGTACGGTGTAAACGTTGCTGCTCTCTCCATCGCCAGAACAAAAAGAGGCACAGAATAAATTGCTCGCTAAAACCTTAGAGCGAGCTTTATCGTTCAGGTTAAGGCCACACACAGTTACAATCCTAACCTTAAACCTAACACATTACACCTAAACCCACAGTCAACAATGTGTCGACCCTTTCTGAGCAAACGTATGTCTCATCTACGCTCCCTCCAGAAAATTCGGACAATCATAATAATAACACATCGAAGCAAGACTGTCGTGTCCCAGTATCTACCGCACACTCATTATAGCACTTATAATGTTAGTAGATGTGTAAAAGCTGCCATGACCTTACACGTGGGATATCCCATATATCGCAGAAACTAGCATCCGTTTGACGTTCTTTGATTGTTTTACACTCGCTCTCTCCGCGCTGCTATAAAAATCTCCTCCCTAAACTCGCCCCTGTGACGGGAACACCCGGCCCCTAAAAATTCCAAGAGCTTTGTATATAATATTAATTACAGTATATACATATTTGTCCGATTACAACAGTAGCAATGACAATGCACACAGCATAGACACTTTGTACAAATTTCACGTTATAGTAAAGGCAAGTGCCAAGAAAAATGACATCGAACAAATTGGTGCACCTATACGACACCATATGACTTTTTTTTCTTAAAAACAAGCTGAAAAACTGTGTCCATGGCATGAACAACTATGCGAATTTGTACGCCCATATTAACACATCGACACCATTTCTCAAATTCAAATGAAATGTCACAGGCGGCGTTAAAACTAACAGATTCAGTCGAAAATACCACTTCTTTATAGGAAGAAAATAACAAAAACTTTTCTCAACTCT